TGTTATTTATGGGACTCTTGTTCAGTGGCGAAGAAGTTGAAGTGTATGTAGCTGGTATGATGGGAATGGTGAGGAGATGACCCTTGAGATCGCAGGAGACGTTTTCCTTTTCTCACTTCCCTGCCTGGCACCTGAAGAAGAAATTTTAAGGAAAGCCCTGCTTTGTCTCTGCAGCTTCAGACAGAAGCCAACCCACTGCAGATGCAGCCAGGAGAGAATTTAGCTGCTGAAGTCAAAGAAATATTTTCTGATTAAGTGTGAACCGATTTTATTATTTTTCCCTAAAGGCTTATAAGTTGACCAACTTTAGGTAACTTTTTATGAAGTACCAAAAGGCATTTATCTGATGCCAGAGCAGCTGCTGACAAATTTCAAGCTTTTATTTCAAAGCATGAAACAGTTAAGTGGTTGGAAGAGTATTTTTAAGCATGAGAAAAACAAAGTAATGTGGAGAGCTGTGCATTTATTTTGAGATGTGTATAGCCCCAGTTCTTATGAATTTTTACTTGGTGTGGTCATCCAGCCAGTTCACATACTTCCCAGCTTCCACCTCAACATTCTTCTGGATACAAATAAAACCAACAAACCCCCAAATCAAAACACCAGCTCCCCCAAATCTGAATTTAAAACAAAACTCCCAATTTGAAGAATTTCTTTCCAAGTGATTGTAATTGTCTGAAAGCAGTGTTTTAAAATGGAAAGCTTTATGGTTGCTGTGAGTATTTCCTGTGCTTGCAGAAACAGCAGACAGCTAAAATTCTGACTTTGGCATGTGTGTAAGACCACACCAAAAAGGATCACTGTGTATGTACAGGGTCAAACTGATTTCATTTGGGATAACTCGAAGAGATTAAGTTCCTCAGTAGTCCAATGGAAGGCCAGCATCCCCAATAGTTATGCATTTTGAGGCTTGGGTATTTATAAAATGCAGCCAGTTTTGAGGCTAAGTCCAGATCTTACCAACACTTACCCAGCGTTATTTCTGGTAAAATTAAGCAAGTTTGCAGGATGTTCCCCCGTAATTTTCACTTGTGACTAGTTAATTTTGCTGCTCTGAGTTTTAGGAGTTTAGTGGAAAACATGTTAAAGGAGATGGTTTTCAAAAACTTACTGGAGTGACTATTTACTGGCCTTCTGAGATGTCTTCCAGCTGAGCACTGGAAAACTAAGGCTACTAAAATCACTAGGAACATGACTTGAAGCAGTTTAGCTTTCCAGACCTGACTTTCCTTTCTCCCTAAGAAGAATTTCACCGGGAACTGACTTGCACTTCAAGAAATTAAATTTGCCTAAAGAGTTAAGTAACATGTATTTTCTTTCAGGGAAAAAAACATAATATGAATATTCAAAACAACCTTAACCAAGGGCCGTGAAGTTGCTGATGGTGGGCTCTCCTGAAACAGTCTCTGTTACAGAAACTTAAATTTATAAACCAAACACGTTCCTTTGATCAATAATCAGGATAATAGGATATTTTTAGGAACATTTAGAAAGTGTAACTCAATCTGACGTGATTACTCATGCTCACTTAGAAAAACTGTCAATCAATACCAGTTATCAGATTTTCTACAAACAACAACAGTGGAGAAAGGGAGAGGCTTGTAAAATTGCGTATAAAACATAGCTTTGGTGCAGTCTAATAGTCGCTGAGAAGACATAACACAGACTTAACTATCAAAATTAAATATATCTATTGACTCAATGCACTATCAAGGCTGTCTATCGGGAAGCATGCACAATAAATGACACAGCAGTTAAGTCTTGAACATGGTGGTATAATTTGGATAGTCTCTTGATAACTGATCAAAGCGGGGTGGATTTGTAAAATGGGAACTAAAAATACTTCTGTGTAGAAACGAATCTTGGTCATACTAGGTGGAAAAGGAAAATTATGATTGAGTTATGCTGATTCTGCTAAAGAGCTGCAGTTATATATTAAGGCAATAAAACTCACTGTGAAGCATGGGAGGAATGTATTACTAGTTAATTACAACAGCAAGTTATGCCATTGGAGGGAGTATTACCATGTTTTATGATGACCGTTTTATCATCTCTTTGTTTATACTTTCCTTTAGTAATGAACTTTTCTGAACTTTGAAATATTAAATATTTCAGCATTAAATATTGTACCCCTTGTTTTTATTTGATAGGAATAGTTCTTGATATAGGGAGTAAGAATAAAACTGCAAAGGAATAGAAAACCCAGATGGGGAAAATGGCATTTTCTGTAGTTATATGTTGTCTCCATGCATCAGCAGTGGTGTGGCTCGTTTGGTTTACTTTTTCTGGTGGTGCTGAGGTATGGAAAGCAATAGCTTGTTTTATAGTGGAAAGCAAATTCTGCTCTGGCCAATATGCCCTGTAAAGCTGTTGGATTCCCAGGCCAGTTTCAGCAGCACCTCTTCAAATCTGAATGGCTGAAAGATGAACATCTCTTGTTTTAAGTAGTTGGACAACTGTTTGATTGCTCCTTTCTGTAGGAAAATAATCTCTTCATGGACGGCTATAAGTGGCATCATTTTTCCTTTGGGTTCCCATTGCTCTCTCTGTATATATTACACATCTGGACTGTAAGTGAAACTCGCCCATTCCTCTGAAACATCTGTTGTGTCCTGCTGCGGAGAAGGCCTACTTATCTGCTACTTTTACTGTGTACTGTGTAATTTTAATAAAACTTTGTCTAGTGGACCCATTTCCAGATGTAATAAATTCAAAATCACATATAAATAGTTGATATTTTCTGCAAAAAGTGTTACCTTGTTTCACAACTGGGTAATTTTTTTTTTTTTAAGGCAAGGTGGAAAAAAAGGCAAATCAATTAAAAAGTATAAAGAGTTTTTCTCTTTTGCTTTGAAAAATGTAAATGCCTAAGGAGAAAAATGGTAGGAAGTTACCAGTTAGAAAAAAGATTATTGCTTTTTTCGGTTTAAAAGTATCAATCTGATCATCCTGTTTATGCATCCACTCATAGAAAGGCCTTCACAAAAAAAAATGAAAGTAATGTAATGGATTCTTCTAGTAAGAGAAGGAAGGGAGAAGGAAAAGGAAAAAAAAAAACGTTGTAGAATTTCAGGCTAAATTCTGGCACATTTATTGAAAGAACCATCATGGTTGTTTCTGCTGCTAAACCCTGGTGAGGGCAGAAAGAGCTGGGATGGCAAGTAGGAGTCAGCTCTGGAGCTCCGAGCTTACTCAGTGAGAGTTGCTCAACTAAACCAATGGGAGGGAAGAGCCTTCTAGTTACACAAACGTATTTCTGCTCACCTAGAGGAGGCTCCATGTCCCGCTGTCTAGAAAATTCAGTGAGAGTCAGCACGTGATTCTGGGCTAACTGGGACCCCATGCCTAACACTGCTAGTTTTTCCTGTATTCCTCAGGCACCAGACTTCAGCTGTCTGCTTTCTCAGTAATGTAGAAGAAAATAAAACAAGTGATTTCTGAAAAGGGGAACCACGATTCAGTAGTCTGGAGAGTGAGTGGTAGTACTAAGCTTCTATAACTTTTTAGAGTGGCAGAGACAAATCTTTCCTTGTTCTGGTGACTTGTTTGGGTCTTTTTTTTGGGGGGGTGAGTGTGTTGGTTTTTGTTTTGTTTTGGGTTTTTGTTTTGTTTTGTTTTTTGTTTTGTATTTTTGATTGTTTTTGTTTTTTGTTGTTGTTTTGTTTGGGTTTTTGTTTTTTTTTTTTTTTTTTGGTTGTTGTTGGTTTGGCTTTTTTGTTGTTTTGTTTTTTTTTTTTTTTAATACCACCGTCGTATCCCACACAATGGAGTCCTGATGCACTCCTGACGCACCAACTGTGCTCTCTCCTGTGATGGGAAGGATGGGGGATTTTGACATCATTGCTACAAGCCTATGTGGCTTTGGAGGGATAGTTTTAAGCACTACTTCTTCCTTCAGCATTCAGGGTACATGAAGAAGTTACCAATTTTTTTATTTATTTTTTTTTTTAATAGCAGACCAAAGCTGGAAAGAGTAAGGGAGGTGCTCACACAAAGGAAAACCAGCTGCATTTTACAAATACCCAAATTGCGCTATCAGAGCATTAAATTTTTATCAGTGCGTGTCTGCCCATTGAGTACTTTGGTATATTTAATTTCTTTTTATTGTTATTGTCTGTCTGGACTTGGACTCATCTCCTTGGTCAAAGATAAAAGATGATTTGTGTCATAAACGTATGTCATGTGAGGCAGTGCTTAGGTTTTTCCTGAGATTCAATTAATGAGGTAAGAAAAGGGCAGAAGTATGGAAGAAGGCTTTGCTAAGCTGCCTTTTAAATTTCGTACCATATTGAAAATGGAGCTCTGGCAGAAATAGCTTTGGTTTTGAAGGTCTGCTCTGTGTTGGCAGTACGAGAGGCAGCTGCCTAAAATAGGAAAATATTAGCAGGGTGTTCGGGCCTGTTTATTGAGGGCAAAGCAGGGAGCTGTGGGTGGTGTGTGTTTCCCAGGCTGCTAAGGGCAGCAGGGACCACGGAGCTTGTGCTGATAAGGAGTGGATGATAACATACTAATGCACTTTTGCTTTTCTGCAAAGTATTAAGGCTAGAGAGCTGCAGACTGTTTGTGGCATATGGTAATTTGTTGAAAATTACTATTTGCAAAATAGAGAGGACCTGATATATTATCAGAACTGACAAGAAAATAAACAGCTATTTTTGGTTTTGATGTTGTTGGTTTTTTTTTAAAAAAGCGCCTTTGGAACTAGGAAGATAGATGCAATGTTGGCTATAATTTACCAAATCAAACTTATTTAAATGCACTGTCTTTGATACTTAATAAATGTTGTAGTGTGGCTTTTCGTGGCTAATAAAACTTGGTTTACATTACACCCCTTGTCTGCTATGATTTGCCTCCTAGGGCTCACTTAGAGTGCATTAAGAAGCTGCACACAAGATCAGGGTGATTTGCTGCAAAACTTAAATAATTCATTTATGCACCACTGCTCTCAGACAGTGTTTTTACAAATGCTATAATGAGACAAGCTGTGAAATGTTTTACAGGGTGGAAATCAGGGCTGCTGCTCAAGTAAAGTCTTGCTGCACAGATTTTATTCCTTGAAGTCTTCAAGAGGACTTTCAAAGCCTTATGGTATAGACCTCCAAAGCACATTGTCCTGCAGGTAAGGCTGATTGTCCTAAATCAGCAATGATATTTTTTACTTCAGTGTGCTTTCAGTTGAGGACCTGAAATGAGCATGGGATAGTTAAGGAGTTCAGAGTGGAAAGTACAGTTCATTAGCTCGGAAAAGGCCCTTTTCTGGCTGCGACTATACCTTGTCTACCACGCTGATGCTCTTTCTTAGTCTGCTCTCTGCCGTACACTTCACTTTTTATTCATGGACATTGAAGAAATTCAAATGATTGGAGTTAAAATATACCAGAACTAAGTTTTACTGTCAGCGTTGTTGGCAGCTCCCCTGATGTTAGCTCTGAATTCTCATCCGCTGGAGTCATGTTTCCTCTGTGTAGCTATAACCTTCAATACTGTCTGCAAAAGTCTTATTGTCATGAAGAAAAGCTTGAAAGTATGTCCTGCACCTGCACTCTCAGGAAGCGGTTGTCCAGACAGAAAATAGCTCTGTTATTTACACTAAATGTTAGAATGATTTTTATTTTTATTAATCTACTAATTTGGACAGAGAAAGGGGAATAGCGCTTAGGGTTGGTGAAGCAAGTGTGACCTCTGCATCATTTCTGTGTGCGTTTTAGGCTATAGCTGTTAACTACATGATCAGATCTTATTTGTTCTACAGGAAGAATAAATTGCAGAAGAATTAAAACATAAACAAATTAGTTTTAAATTAGTAATTGGGTAAGAGTAGTCTGTTTACAGTATATGGCTGACTTTGCCAGGAAACCTATCCAACAGTTTACATTTCCCATGCACATCTCACCACTGACTCGGAGTTTAAGATGAGATAGAGGAAAAATACTAGGTGTAACTGAGACTGCTGGATGACTTTGGTTGGCATTTGTAACTAATTGAAATAATATATAATTAGAAACAGATTTTAGTTATTAGAATTAAGACAAAAATGTTCTATTTTTAATAACTTCTTTATGTGTAAAATTTTCTTTAGTATCTTTTGCTATAAAACATTTTGCATTTGCTTGTATTTTTGCTTGACCATTATGAAACCTTGAAGTGTGTAAGGGCAGTTACCATTTTACAGAATGAAAGCTGGAGAAAAAGGAGAAAAGGGGATTCAGAAAACAAAATATTTGGGCTGCTGCTAGGTAGAGATCATCCCTTTGAATTTGCTAGCATTTCTGTGAGCATTTTCCCCCTCTTCTCAACCAGTTTTGAATCTGAGGAAGTTACCATCTGTGCATAGATTTGCAGGAAATGAGCTAAATTTGTAGTGTAAACATTTTCAAATGAATATTTGCACAGTACAGTCTCTCAGCAATGCATTATCCTCTTTTATTTGGTAATCAAGACATATCCCTTATGAGTTGTGTTGAAAACGAAGAGAATGACTCTCACTAAACCCTAATTATCCTCTTCTTCCTCCTGGGAAGAGCTCTCTTTAAGCTCCCTTCTGTGAGCTGCTCCGCATTTCACAGTCATTCCACCTCTAGATCACTCTTTCTCCTTATTTTGCCTCAAAGTGGACTCTCAGATGTAAGGGCATAGCATGAGCCAAGACAGCTCTGTATAGGGACATCTGTTGAATTTCTATAAGGTGGGATTGCCGGGCCAACCCAAAGCCTTGGAGAGATCCAGAGCAATTAGCTTTCAACTAAGGTTTTATGCAGGACACAAGCTTGTGATAATACAGAAATATTTCTTGGCTTAGGACTGGGAGAATGACATACTTCCATTAGCACCAAAGTACTTTTGACTTGATTCAGTCTGTAGCAACATGAGTCAGCTGTTTCAGCTAAGCAGTGTTTCTAATTTGGCCTTTTTCTAATAAGCACGTATGCATAACGTGAGCTTCCTACACCGATTAATCCATGTTTCCTCCATATGGTTTGTAGATTTTTATTTTCTTTTAATTCAGTGCAAGCTGCTGAATAGTAAAATGCAGTCAAGATCTTGTTCTAGCGAAAAAGGGACCCCAGCTGAAGTTGCAAGGGAATCGTTAAGATTAACGTATCATGGTTGTTTTGGGAAGGGAATTTTTCAGCCAGTCCCTCTGACTGCTGGGGCTTGAAAATAGGTGAAGTCCTTGAGCAGTCCTGTATAGGAGGCCCTGCATTTTTCTGGGTAACTTTCTGAAGGCAAGCTTAGTAGAACAAGAAAGGTAGGCCAAACCTCACTGAAGCTGGTCCAGAAGGACAAAGGAGTAGGCCTGTGGAGTTGTCCTGAGAGTGTTCAGCTGAGATACTACACCCTGAGGAGAGGGAGAAGGGTGGGGATGTTGGAGACAGAAGAGGAAGCTGCTGGGGAAGGTCTGTGTTTGGAATAATGTAAGACTTAAGAGGTTTGGGAGTAGATATTTTGTATTTGGTAAGGGTAGGAATTTACAGCCTGTGCATGGAACAGAATGACTTGATTTGCTAATTTTTAGGTGCAATTAGGAGTGTTAGAGTGATACTAGCGAAGTCTTGATATTGCTAGCACTAGGCTATCAGAATAAAGATGTAGACCTATTAGCGTGCATCCGTGTACATGGAGAACACAAAACCAAACAAGGGTGCACGCATGCATGGTAAAGCACTGCAAAATCTAATATCCACCCACTCCCCCACCAGCAACCTTGATTAACACCCCACCCTCCCAAAAAACCCAAATCAAAATAACCCTACAGCCTTTTTCTTTCAGTACCAATCAAATCCAATGGCACAGGTTTTTTTTCTTCTTCAAACAGGGAGAATGTTAATTCCTGGAATGCACTTTATACAAATTAAAGTCCTTTCCGCCTTCCAAGCATAATTTTTAACAAAGGAATCAATCTGTCTCCTAGCAAACCAAGGTGGACAAATATATATATATATATATAAAATAATTAAATTGTTTTTTTCTTATTATAAGAGTTTGTTTGGTTTGTAAAACCAAGATGGAATATTTATGCCCTTCCTCTTAGGGAAGGTCAGCAGATATATACTCAGTTACCTATTTGTGTGCGTTAAATCAAACGACTCTATATTCAGTATTTTGGTTTTTAATTTTGCCTGAGCAGGAAGCTGGAAATCCAAATTAATGACTCTTCCCTAGTGACATAAATTCTGTGAGGTGTTTGTAGCTTGCTTGCCTTGTTAAAGTGCTCTGACGTGATTGATAACCGTTGTCCTCTCCGACAGCGAAGCCTGCACCGCAGTGGCAAGTAGACCAGCAAGCATGCAGAGAACTTGCACTGGGATCAAAATACAAGATGTTTTCATTAATTCTACTTCCAGGTTGTGAGGAATGGGTCTTATGTAGGCTAGTAACCTTCTTGTCTTCTCACTAACAGCTGCTGTTAGACATGATAATATAGCAAAGTCACTTCAGCTGAGCAAGGAAAAGAAAAGCTTTTTTCTGTCGGGTATCAGAGGGAAGTAAAGTCTGCTGAGGGAAAAATTGCTGTGCAGGAACCATCTTATGCATGCCCTGTACTGGTTATATAGTATGGGTAGTTTGACTTGCAAAGGGTCCCCACATGAGCCATCTACCAGAGGTCCCACAGTTTCCCTCTTTCTGTGTTTACCCTGTGCACTGACTGCTTGGACCCTGAACCTGCAAGGACAGATTTCTTCCAGCAAACAATAAAGTGGCCGTAACAAAATCGAGGCAATAAACATTTCAAACTACAGTGCACCATCTTTTTAGTGTTCAGTTCATTATTCTCAAGCAGTGATTGACCCTGTGCTGCAGAAAGTGTCTCAAGCCAAGACAACCTTTACTCTAAGGGACGGGGAATCTGACAGACCAGTGCAAGCAAGATAAAGTGTGAGCACCTTGGGAGAGGCTTCTGTTAATTTGGGAGCTTTGTTTTAATCTGATATTCTTTTTCCCTTTATATGATACTGGGGTGGAGAATGGATTTGTCTCCTATGGGCTAACATTTGTGAGGCTTGTGGAGCTCCTAAGGGGTAGCTTGCCAGCTCACATTATTAGGATCCTTCCTGTAATACAGTAATTCAGTCCCTCCCAATTTGTTCAAAATATAGGACCTTAACATGAGTGATAGGTGTTATCTGCAGTAAGTCCTTAGGAAGGTATAACTGAAAACAGATTAAATGACTGATAAGAATTGCATTGATCTAGCAATCATGTGAAAATTGGAAAAATAGTTTAAAGTGTTTGATCTTGAAATAATGTATATGCAACATTTAAAGAAGTGGCGATTGCAAGAGCTTTGAAATATGAGTCCGAATCAAGGTTAAAATTGACAAATGACCCTTATAAAGGGTAGAAGTAAATGAGTAGCAGCATTCACCTGTGGATGTTGATGTGTTTTGAATCCCAGCGGAGGAACCTGTATTGCAGCATGGACACCTCTCTCTAATCAATGTATTGTTACTGCTAGTTCTTCTGTTCTCTTTAGGCAGAAGCAGAGCGTAAATGTAAGTAAAAGGGCTGTGCACATTGCTCTTTCCATAATCCTTGTGCTATGAACTATTTTTTCCCCATAGGCTATTAGTGTCTTTGAGTAAGTATCTAGTTCCTTTCAATAAATACTGTGCATCTGAAGTTAAAGTGGCTACTAGTAACTAAAGTGACAGCTACTCAACTGCTAGCAACAAAAGGAAGCTTGTTAAATCTGAAGATGTCACATAATTTTCATAGCTGCATTTCTGAGCTTTAGGAGACTTGAGTGCCATATTTGCTAGGCAGAAACAGGTAGTCAACTAGGGTGTTTATTCATTGAAGGTCAGGCTTTTGTATTATGAAACTTCTAGCAGATGTGATAAGCAGTAAATTGCAGATCTATCACCTTTTCTTTTCTATCTTTTTTTTTTTTTTTTTTTTTCCTTCCCTCCAGTGAGCGTGTGTGTGAAATCAGCAGAATACTTCCTGCATTTGATTTATGGCCCACTTTTGACCAACTCTTATCAGGTTCTCACAAGCCCTTTTCTGATGCAGCTCATGTCTGAATGACAATAGACAACCAGTGCCATTATGCTCCAAAATCCCTCTCTGCATTCTAGACACCTAAGATTACATCTGAGCTATTGATTTATTACTCCC